CATTCAGTACATGTTACAAATAAAATTGTAGTGAAAATAATCAACTTAAATAAAGTGCCAAAAAATATTAAGTTCGTGTCCACAAAAAATATATGCATAAAGTCCTTTTATCCCAGAAAAAAAACATAAGTATAATGACTTCTCCCAAAAAAACAGTGCTTCCACCATCCACCAGTGTGAAATCAAAATCAACCGCACTCACCAGATGTTGGTGAGTTATGTGCCTTTTAGAATTTAAGGGATCCTAAACCCCCTCTATATCCTCCAGAACTCCTAAATCGCTTTGCAGGGCTAGATGATTCCACTCACTCTCATATGAACTCCACCGCGGTCCAAAAAAAGAAAAAAACATATACCTAGCGTGATACTGCTATACGTAATGTAGTATTATAAATAATACCGGCCACTCACATGTTATAGATAAATAGAAAGCATTGATTTATTGCCCCATAGGCTACCAAAAAAAGGGAAAAAATCCAGACCTCACAGCCTGTTGGTTTGCAGAGGATAGAAACCCAGATCCAAGTCTTGAGAATGCCCTGTGGGAGGGGCGAAATGTGTTGACACATTTCTGGTCTGCCGTCCTACGTCACTTCCGGTGAGTGGAACGCACACCGAGGGGTGCGTTCCAAGCGGCCATCTTGATTGTTGGATCTGGGTTTCTATCCTCTGCAAACCAATAGGCTGTGAGGTTTCTGGATTGGAGTGTGATCCCTTGGATATTTTGGTAGCCTATGGAGGCAATAAATCAATGCTTTCTATTTATCTATAACATGTGAGTGGCCTGGTATTATTTATAATACTACATTACGTATAGCAGTATCACGCTATGGTATATGGTTTTTCTTTTTTTGGACCGCAGTGGAGTTCATATGAGGAGTGAGTGGAATCATCTAGCCCTGCAAAGCGATTTAGGAGTTCTGGAGGATATATAGGGGGTTTAGGATCCCTTAAATTCTAAAAGGCACATAACTCACCAACATCTGGTGAGTGCGGTTGATTTTGATTTCACACTGGTGGATGGTGGAAGCACTGTTTTTTTGGGAGAAATCATTATACTTATGTTTTTTCTGGGATAAAAGGACTTCATGCATATATTTTTTGTGGACACTAACATAATATTTTTTGCACTTTATTTAAATTGATTATTTTCACTACAATTTTATTTGTAACATGTACTGAATGAGTTGTTTGATTTGCGCTGTTTATTTATTTATAGGTAAAGTAATGAACATTGATTATCTTGTTACAGTGGCATCTGAATGTGGGTTGGTGATATTATTTGGCAGCAGGTGAACATGTTGTCCCTTAACCCCCCTGGCGGTATTCCAGAGTGTAGCTCGGGGTAAAGTTTCAGCACCACAAGCTGTAACCCCAAGCTACACTCGGGAATACGTTGCTCTGGTATCCCTTCTGCACTTACCTTGTCCTTCGCTCCCGTGATGTCCCCCCTGCAGTGTCCCCGGCCATCTCCTCTGGCCGATGCCGGCATCTGTCTTCCGGGTTCCGTTCCCTGCGACGTCGGGACGTACGGGGACGGAACCGGCGGGAAATTTAAAAATGTCAAAAAGTGACATTCACTAAATACACTAAAATCACACAGTATAACATTACTGTATCAAACCATTTCAGATACATTTTGTCCCGAGTGCTTTGTCCTGTGCCCTGCCTGCATTTTTACTGTTCTTTCTGCCTGGAAACTGAGAAACGTCCATGGCGTCCAAAAAGCGTCCCTTTAGGTCAAAAGCGGTTTTAGACCAGCTAGAGAACAGCGATAGTAAATTAGAACTACTTGCAGAATTGAGTGATAATGATTCGTGGGGAAATTCGTCATCAGACACTGAAAAAGTTTTGCAACTTTGCTCAGTGATGTGCGAACTTGGCGCTCTACCTCAAATTTCAGTGTTTTTGGTTTGATTACATTAGTGAATTAAATTTATTATTATATTATTTTTTATGATTATTAAATTATAATTTATGATTTCGTGTTTCAAACTTTAACATACCCGGGATGTTTACTAGACTCTTGTTCGGACAGATTTCAGTGAGTTATTCCTAAAAATTACAGGCCTGCAATAAAGAAACAACATATTTCCATGCAAAAAAATGTACCACTTTGAGCACAGAAATACTGACATAATCAGACCGCTGGGGAGGTTAAGCTGAAGTGTTGAAAGCAGAAAAAAATGGGCAAGTTTAAGGATTTGAACGACTTTGACTAGGGCCAAATTGACTGGATCAGTGCAGCTCCAAAACTGCAGCTCTTGTGGGATGTTCCTGGTCTGCAATGGTCAGGACCTACCAATATTGGTCCAAGGAAGGAAAACTGGTGAACCAACAACAGGGTCATGGATGGCCAAGGCTCATTGATGCACATAGGGAGCAAAGGCTGGCCGCTGTAGTCTGATTCAATAGACGAGCTATTGTAACTCAAAATGCTGAAAAAGTTGCTGGTTCCAATAGAAAGGTTTCAGAACATACACATCGGTAAGGGTGCCCATACTGACCTGAGTCCACAGCCAAAAGCACCTACAATAGGTACATGAGCATCAGAACTGGACCATGGAGCAATGGAAGGAGGTGGCCTGGTCTGATGAATTCAAGAATAGTTTGAGGAACACAACAAGTCTAAGGTGTGGCCTCCAAATTATGCAGATCTCAATCAAATCAAGCATCTGTGGGATGTGCTGGAAAAAACAAGTCCGATCTATGAAGGCCCCACCTTGCAACTTACAGGACTTAGAGGATATGCTGCTGATTGCTTGGTGCCAGGTACCACAGCATTCCTTCAGTGGTCTAGTGCAATTCGTGCCTCAATGGATTATGATGGATGGTCATCGCGGTATGGCTGATCAGTGTGTGTGTATATATATATCTCAACAGTAACAACTCTCTGTTCAAAATACACTCTCAATATCCCCATCTACCTCCTGTTATTTATATAGATTATACAACATTAATCAAGTGTATGATAGAGTTTTCAGTACAATAATGTATACAGTTGCAAAAATGGACACTATAATAGGGGGCTACACCAGATTTTGCACTCTCCAGTTTTAGTAAATCTTCTCCTATGTGTTTTGCAGTTATAAAGACTGCTTCTTCAGGAGGGTGGTAGCAGTATTTAATGCATTTGCGATTGATGGCTGTGCCAGTCCTCAGGCCACTAAGGGGATTCCCTTGACAAGAACAGGAGCATATCAGGGCAGAAAATGGCCTCCCAGGTGTAAATGTTACAATATTTATAGCCAATCAATTATCCAAAGCCTAAGCCATAATTTATCTCATGTCTGTAACTAATTCTTAGTCTTGCCACCAGAGACATTACCATCGACACCATAGTCACCATAATTACTTTTAATTGTTGCATTGCAATATAGCATACAGAGCATATTCAGCCACCAAACCTCCCAGGCAAATACAGGCAGAATATATTTTACAATTCAGGCTTATACAGTAGATGACTATCATAGTCCTGCTGTGTGAGCAGCATTGTGAAGACGGTTCCTGTTGGAGAAAGTGATTAGAAGCAATTGCCAATTGTCATGTTGAGTGAACAAAACCTGCTCTATACCCAACAATCACCTATTTGGTGGAAGGCAATGGTATATGAGCCTAGAGTGATGTGTCATGTGGCCTGTCCCTACTTGTTCAGAACCTTTTCCTTCTGCTAGTCACTTTCCCTGACAAGCGGTTGCTCTGTCCTTGTCCTATCCACTCGCAAATGTGCACCAAATCCTGGGGACAAATAAAGTTCAGCTGTTCTAGTACGTCTTTCCTGACATTTTCTTAGTTGCATCCTACAGCAAAAGCCATGGTCCGCAGAGAGCTTCCAAAGCATCAGAGGTATTTAATTGTTAAAAGGTATCAGTCAGGAGAAGGGTACAAAAGAATTTCCAAGGCATTAGATATCCCATGGAACACAGTGAAGACAGCCATCATTAAGTGGAGAAAATATAGCACAACAGTGACATTACCAAGAACTGGACGTCCCTCCAAAACTGATGAAAAGAAAACTGGTCTGGGAGGCTGCCAAGAGGCCTACAGCAACATTAAATGAGCTGCAGGAATATCTGGCAAGTACTGGCTGTGTGGTACATGTGACAACAATCTCCCGTTTTCTTCATATGTCTGGGCTATGGGATACAGTGGAAAGACAGAAGCCTTTTCTTACGAAGAAAAACATCCAAGCCCAGCTAAATTTTGCAAAAACACATCTAAAGTCTCCCAAAAGCATGTGGGAAAATGTGTTATGGTCTGATGAAACCAAGGTTGAACTTTTTGGTCATAATTCCAAAAGATATGTTTGGCGCAAAAATGACACTGCATATCAACAAAAGAACACCATACCCACAGTGAAGCATGGTGGTGGCAGCATCATGCTTTGGGGCTGTTTTTCTTCAGCTGGAACCGGGGCTTAAGTCAAGGTAGAGGGAATTATGAACAGTTCCAAATACCAGTCAATATTGGCACAAAACCTTCAGGCTTCTGCTAGAAAGCTGAACATGAAGAGGAACTTCATCTTTCAGCATAACAACGACCCAAAGCATACATCCAAATCAACAAAGGAATGGCTTCACAAGAAGATTAAAGTTTTGGAACGGCCCAGCCAGAGCCCAGACCTGAATCTGATCGAAATTATGTGGGGTGATCTGAGGAGGGCTGTGCACAGGAGATGCCCTCACAATCTGACAGATGTGGAGTGTTTTTGCAAGGAAGAGTGGGCAAGTATTGCCAAGTCAAGATGTGCCATGCTGATAGACTCATACCCAAAATACTGAGTGCTGGAATAAAGTCAAAAGGTGCTTCAACAAAGTATTGGTTTAAGGGTGTGCACCCTTACGCAACCATATTATTTTAGTTTTTTATTTTACTTCCCTCCACTTAAAAGATTTCAGTTTGTTCAGCTGAGTTGTACAGTTTATAGGTCACATTAAAGGTGGAAAAAGTTCTGAAATGATTTATCTTTGTCTAATTTTTTTACATCACAGAAACCTGACATTTTAACAGGGGTGTGTAGACTTATTATATCCACTGTATTACTACTTCAGATGCTACGCATGAGGCGTGGATGTTGGCACAGGCTGCCTTGGATGGCTTGACAACATCTATGGCAGGGGCGGACTGACAACTCATGGGGCCCCCGGGCAATAGGGGATCATGGGGCCCCTGTGTCCTTGCCCAAACTCAAAAAGCCTATGGAAAAGGTACCAGGGGCAACTCATGGGAGCCCCTACTGACCCCGGGCCCTCGGGCAGAGCCCGAGTTTCAAAATGGTCAGTCTGCCCCTGATCTACGGCCAAACGTAAGTAGTTCTTTAGCAAAATGGTGTTTTTTGAGGAGGGGGAGAAGCCACCTTAAGAAGAGTGTGGTACTACTCTGGGCACAATCACAAATGTTCTAACAGAGTCCATTGCAAGTGCCCATAAAATTGTATCAGCACAGCTGCTCTTCAATGACCTTATTACACATGAGAAAGCTGGAAGTGAGTGTTTCCTTACTAGGTCACAGTATGTTTGCCAATGAAAGAAGTTTCACTCTTGCAGTTTGCAAAGGATTTGACTAATCGCATTACATCGAGTGTCTTCATTCTTCCCTGAGGGGAAAAGGAGGTAGAGATGACACAGGAAGACAAATGACAGGAGAGGGGGGTGGAAGGCGAGTCACAAAACATGAAGATGACAGAGGAGGGTGTGGAGGTAACATGGGAAACAGGCATGACCTGAATAGAGGCTCCTGTACGGGAGACAGGAAATCAATAGGTGAACCTCTCACTGACAATTCTGATAAAAGGTACAAATTTTAGAAATTGGTCTTATGTATTTTTCTGACTTTGAACACAAATCAACTTAACAATGAAAACTTTTTTTGCAATTAATTCTATTTATATTTACATATTTATTTACTTTAGGTAATTATATAGCGCCATCAATTTATGCAGTGCTTTACATATATATTGTGCATTCACATCAGTCCCTAAACCTCAAGGGGCGTATAATATAAGGTCCCTAACTTACATTCATACATAGACGGGCCAATTTAGACAGGATCCAATTAACCTGCCAGCATGTCTTGGGAGTGTGGGAGGAAACCAGAGTACCTGGAGGAAACCCATGCAGGCACAGGGAGAACATGCAAACTCAAGGCAGGTGGTGCGGTGGTTGGGATTCGAACCAACGACCCTAGTACTGCCAGGTGGAAGTGCTAACTATTCAGCCACTTTGCTGCCCATATCTTACAGGGGTCTTCTGCCCAGTCTGGTGATGTTATAGGTCCTCTGTCTTCTTCTCCCCAGTGGTGGTGGGCTGTCCTTCCTTCTACACCAAACAACATGTGATCACCATTCAATGCACTAGTATACTGAGCCTGGCCAGGCATGATGATACACCCCCAGAGAGTATGTCCATAACAGTCTGGGCTCCAAAGAAGTGGCTTGCTTCACTTTGACCAGTATTCAGCCTAGAAGATTGGCAACATATAGTGGCAGGAAGTAAATTACTGCTGTGGACAGCTCTGGATTGAAGGTGAATATTGCAGTAAAGGTTGTTTTTTATTTTTATTTTTTTGAGCTATGTATTTTTTAACCGCCTCCCGCCCGCCATATAGTAATATGACGGACTGAAGGTGGTTCTCTTGTTCTGGGAGGACGTCATATGACGTCCTCCCATCCTAACCGCGCATGCGCGACTCCCAGAGCACACAACGCAGCGATCAGCGGTGCGCTGTGTCCCTCGGACACAGCGGATCACCGATCCCTGGAAAGAGACGAAGATGTCGGCTCGGTCATGTGAGCAGCGGTGTCCAATCACAGCTGATCACATGTAAACAGGGAAATGCCGGTTATCGGCATTTCTCTCCCCACGAGCTATCACGCTGACAGCTCGAGAGGAGAGGAGAGCCGATGACCGGCATTCATCGGAGGGGACATGTACACAGATCATCAGAGCACTGATGATCAGTGTTCCCTGATGATCTGTGTAGTCCCCGCAGTGCCACCTGTTAGTGTCCATCAGTGCCAGCTCTCAGTGCTCCTCCATGCCAGCTGCCAGTTCCCATCAATGCCACATATCAGTGCCCATCTGAGCTGCCTTTCAGTGCCAGTCAGTGCTACCTATCAGTGCTGCCAATCAGTCCCACCTATCAGTGTTAGTCAGTGCTGCCTAACAGTGCAAGTCAGTGCCGCCTATCAGTGCCATATATTAGTGCTGCCTTTCATTGTCCATCAGTGATGCCTGTCAATGCCCATCAGTGCCACCTACCAGTGCCTCCTCATCAGTGCCACCTATCAGTGTCCTTCAGTGCAGCCTATCAGTGCCCATCACTGCAGCCTCATTAGCGCACATCAGTGAAGGAGAAAAATCACTTATTTACAAAATTTTATAACACAAACTAAGAAAAAAACGTTTTTTTTTTTTTTTTTTCAAAATTTTCAGTGGTTTTTGGTTTGTTTAAGAAAAAATAAAAATACCCAGAGGTGATTAAATACCACCAAAATAAAGCTCTATCTGTCACAAAAAATGGTAAAAATGTCATATGGGTACAGTGTTACATGACCGCACAATTGTCATTCAAAGTGCAACAGCGCTGAAAGCTGGAAATTGGTCTGGGCAGGGAGGGGGTATAAGTGCTCTGTAGGCTAGTGGTTAATATCCTTATAGACTGGAGGTCCACTATAAAAGAAATGTATGGTCGCAGCATACACTTTAATTTAATGACATCAGCATTATCATAGCAATACAATCAATAGTTATTATTGACAATCTGGGACAAGCTTACTTGAAAAATCTCCATCCATGTTGTGAGTTCTGCCTGTCTGCTTGCCTTCTCTTTCCACAACTTTCTGGATTCCTTGCATGCTTTGCAGCTTCTCTTCTGCTGTTTACTTTCCATTTCTAAGCACTACATATTGCATGGTACCTTGCTGCCTGCAAACAGCGATTCCTGTACTGACTCCGCCTCCTAAAACTCCTCCCAGCAGCTCTGTAGATCAGAAGGCAGACCCTGTGAAATGTGTAACACAGTGGTGCCCATTCAAAGTAACAGTGGTGCCCATTCAAAGGGCATAGTCACTGTGCATTACAGAATTTAGGGCTGGGTCACACATGGAATCACACAGAAACACGCTTGCATTCCTGTGCGATTTGAGTGCAGTGCATTTTCAGCCCATTCATTTTGAATGGACTGAAATTGCACTGCACTGCAGCAAAAATAATGCATGCACTACTTTAAAAAAAAACACACCTGCAACCAGATCGCAGTGTAATTCTGCAGTTTGCAATCAGTGCAGGCAAATGCATGGAACACGAGTTTCCTGCACTGCGTTCTGATGTGACTTGGCCCTCAAGTAAGAGAATGTGTAGGAATCTTTGCAAATAAATTTACAAACTTCAAGATTATTCAGAATATGTGTGTAGGCAGGTGAAGTTAGCTAGTGTGCCACTAGGTGGCTCTGTGCCAGAATAGTGTCTGGTTCCAGCAGAAGGTGTCATCAGGTTCTAGGCCCCTTTTAGTTAGGACCCTCCCACAGTGATGTCATGGGTGAGGCAGCACCCACATATAAGCCAAGTCAGGACGAACTCTAGTTGCAGTTGGGGCATGGAAGCTAAACACCCCATACCAGCACAGATGTAACCAGCATGGAGGCCCTAGACAAGGCTGGAGACTGAGGAGAAGTAGACCAGCACCCAGGAGAGCCAGATAAAAACTTCTTGACCCTTATGGAACTGGGGGCTATGGTGGGTCGCAAATGGCCTTTTAGGCCAGGCCAAGAGTTCCCTGAGTGAGGATATTCCCCTGGAGGGTCCCAGAAGAGGAATACTGCAGAGATCTCATTTCAGTGGAGTAGAGGGAATTGGTTGCTTAAAGTGCTGCAAATGCTTTCACATGTGACTACTGCAGACCGTCCACTAAATCTGATTGACAGTGTAATGTTAAGTGACTCTGGAATGTATGTCAATGTGCTGTGACTATTATACCATTTCCTGAGTACCTTCCTTGGAATATAAAGGTCAACAGCCAGAAATGTCATATGAAGGCCTCAAGCACAGAGTGGGCACAATATGGCAGAAGGTTTGGCCTCAGCAGGTAGAATAGGGAAAAGGACAGGAGTGGGGCAGGGACTTGTGCCTTTGGTGCCATTATTAGCCAGTTGTAAAGCCCCTCTTACAAGTGGGCTAAATTTGGACTATAGATACACTTTAACAGAAAACATTGAATGTGGCCCTAGTTCTTCAGTAGATATAAGCTACAGTTCCTTCCTGTGATTTTACAGAGTACTTCAGGAACGTTATAAAGCCCCTTTCCATGGGATAAAATTTTGTAAATTGCAATTATTTCTAAGTTACTTAAATGAGTAATACATTAATTAGCAAGGTGCGATACCCTTTTCTGTAAATATGCAGGTTTGACCCTCGGTGAATTCAATGTGGCCCCTCACACACGTATTCCAATCAGTTCGGCCCTCTGTTTCATTTGAGTTCGACATGCGTGGACTAGAGGGTTGAATTATGTGGTCATCTCACCCCAGCACAGTTGGGTACCCCTGTTATTTCAGCTGATTTAACCCAGATACAGTATGACATGACCTCAAATTAGCAGGACGAAAGTTCAGATTATTTTACCAAAGAATAGTTGATGCTTGGAAGTCAGTCAGTAGCACATGGACTTAGACATGCATGAGATAAACATAGGTCTATACTCAAACAAAAAAAATTAATAAAATAAAAAATATATATAAATACTTTATAAAAATCGGGCAGACTTGATTTACCACTTGGCCCTTTTTCTGACATCATTCTTCTATGTTGACTCTGGCGGTTCGAGCACGCCCATGTAATCTGAACATTTTCAAGATTGTTGGCAGGCTCTGTGTGAAGAAAATATTCTGTGTTGTCCCTCACAGTTTCTCACCAGGAGTTGAGTGAAATGTGTGAAAATAAATGCATTTGTGTTTTCTCAGTGCCCATGGGTTATGTAAACCACTGCAGGTCAGTCAGCACTAATACCTATGTATACTACTTCTAAGGCTCTCTTCACACTCGAGTTTTCAGGTGCCATTAATTTTAATGACACCTGAAAATGCAGGGCGTTTTTGCCACGATCGCGGTGTGTTTTTCCTCAAATGCGCAAACAAAATCGCAGAATGCACAATGCCCAAAAAAGGTTCCGAAACCTAAGTTCCTTATGCAGGCCATAGACGAGTCAAAAATCGGCCGATTTTGCACCGTTAATGGGTTAATTGGTCGGCCGTTTTTCGGGGTTTTGGCACATTTTTTTTATCGGTAAAGTTGAAAAAAATTGGCTGATTTTGCCAATCGGCCGATTTTCCTGGAAATGATGGGCAAATCGGCCGATTGTTTTACCAATATAAAATCTGCATATGAGCCGTGACCTGCAAGAAGAAAAAGAAAAAGAAGAATTCCAGTCCGCTATTATATTTTATATGAAAAGTCTTGTGGTTGCAACAATGTATCTACAGTATTTATATCCGAATAAAAACATCTGTATCTGAAATGGATACAAATAGATACATTGTTGCAACCGCAATACTATTTCATGTCAAATATAATAGCGGAGCTCTCTGCAAGGGACAGAAGTAATTAAATGCCGGCCGTAGACAGGACGAAAATCGGCCGTTTTTTTTTTTTTTTACCGTTGGTGGTAACGTCGGCCTATTAAACGACCGATTTTTTTTTTTTTTTTTTTTAAAAGGGACGGTTTTCAACCTGTCTATGGCCTGCATAAGTCAGGATTTCTCAACCAGGATTCCTCCAGAGGTTTCCAGGGATTCCTTGAGCAATGAGAAATTTTTCCCTCAGGTATGTTCCGACTGACACCATTGATCTTTCCAATGACCACAAATGTAAGGGGCATTCTTACCTCTGACTATCTGACTTTCCTGAGACCAGAAAGTTGTGTCAAAGGTTCCTCTGTGTTGAAAAGGTTGAGAAAGTCTGGCCTAAGTAGTTTAAAGCAGCCTGACCAATCATTTGTATTTGGTTTACTAAGCTGTAAGATGACTTACCCCAAGACACTCTTTTCTGGAGCTTTGTCAAGAAAATAAAAAAGTATTTTTGATTTTTTTTTTTTTTTTTGCCAGCTTCACTACCTCATGGGAATTATACTAAATCATCTTGCCCACTGAATCACATAGAGATATACTGGTTAAAGATAATGTATTAAAGTGTCATTGAACACAAAAACAAACATTTTATACATTGCAGCTTGCACCAATCATTATTAACATACACCGCTATTATACCTACAGTATGTTTCCATGCTAATCATTTTATTTTTTTTCATCAAAGTGATTATTTTTTTAATAAATAATGAATATTTAAATAAAGAAATAAATATTATTTATTAAAATAAAGACACATAGATTATTTACTAACCGTTCTATATCTGCCATCCCTCTCTGCCAAAACCTCCACTGGCTTCCCATTGCCCAACGGATACAATTACAAATATTAACAATAACATATAAAGCCATTTATAACTCTGCCCCAAATTACATCACCAATCTTGTCTCCAAATATCACCCACACCGTCCTCTCCGCTCCTCCCATGACCTCCTGCTTTCTAGCTCCCTTGTCTCCTCCTCCCATGCTCATCTCCAGGACTTCTCCAGAGCCTCCCCCATCCTTTGGAACTCTTTACCCCAATTTAACAGACTATCGCCTACTCTGCTCACTTTTAGGTGATCTCTGAAAACCTATCTCTACAGGGAAGCCTATCCTGCCTTCAGCTAATAATGGAATCCTCTATTCCTCCTACCAGTCCATCCCCCACAGTTATTACCTTTTGTACCACCAGCCCCTCCCTCTTAGATTGTAAGCTCCAAGGAGCAGTGCCCCATTATTGATATTAGTGGAAGGAATAGTGCCCCATCATTGATATCAGTGGAAGGAATAGTGCCTCATCATTAAATATCAGTGGGATGATTATTGCCCCATCATTGATATCAGTGAGAGGAATAGTGCCCCATCATTGATATCAGTGGAAGGAATAGTGCCCCATCACTGATATCAGTGAGAGGAATAGTGCCCCATCCAGGGGCGGACTGATCAATTGGAATCTCGGGCACTGCCGGAGGGACCAGGGTCAGTAGGGGGCCCCATGAGATGCCCCTGGTACCTTTTTCATAGGCTTTTTTGAGTTTGGGCAAGGACACAGGGGCCCCATGATCCCCTATTGCCCGGGGCCCCATGAGTTGTCAGTCCACCCCTGGTCAATCCTCTCTAACCAGTTCATAGTTG